TGGTCACATCTGCTGTTCTTAAGTTCATTTACCACCTAAATATTCATTCTTAAGTTAGTGGTTGTGAATCCTATGATCAGTCCCTACATTTTACACCTTGTTCCAATATCGCAACTTGCATGTTAATTAAATTTCTAATTAGGGGGGCATTCGGTGCAAACCAGCATTATTCTCTTCTTAAGTACACTGACCACCAGGAATTTCATGCTCAAGTTGATGATAATGATTTCTGATATCATTCCGTACAATTTAGGCTTAGGCTTCCTCAATCGCACCTTTCATGTTGATTAACATTTTATTTACCGATGGGGGTCGAGTGATATTTTCGTTATTTTTGAGATTATGTCATACTTTTAGCTAAAACTTCATTAATTTTATGTCTCATATGTTTGTTCCTAGCAGTATCAAAAATGTCCATGTAGTTTTGTGCAATATACTTGGAATAGATCACGAAATAATGTGAAAAATCCTATTCTTAAGTTATATTTCCGAATTCAGGGCACATTCCTCTATCAAATGCCATTGAAGTGGAACTTGCACCTTCCATGTTGAATAAACCCATTTTGGGGAATACTATGGGTGGCTCCTCCTACCACACCCACCACTGGCGCAACTTAAGAATTGGGTTTCTGGGGTCTCCTAACCCAGCCATACACCACTGGCATGCCAAACCTTCCGCACCTTTCATGTTGAACAAAACCCACCTAGCTCCCGGACTATAAAGTACGAATTCGATGAAGATTTGACGGAAACTTAGTTGTCTGGTGAAAATTCCCCACCTATATAGTATATTTCTAACGTTAGCTTGCTTATAAATGCCGTATAGTAATTTAATGTCTTCTTCCTACAAAATTAAGAGTCATCTCCCTTTTATACTGCCGAGACGGTCGGAGTTTTCGTCCATAAAAGAAAGGGCTAAGCTATAATGTTTAATAAAAATTAAATACATCTATTTATCATCAGGAACATTTAAATAATAAAATGCAACAATAATCAATGTGATTTGAGTTGTAATATTGGTTTCGCGACGGGAGGGAAGGTGACATTATAAAATGGCTTCTAGTACTTCCACATATTTTGCACATCAGTGGTATTACTAATTGTTCAACCTTAAAAAATACTTTATGATCAATGGTTTGTAATGGTCAGGCGACTTTGGTAAAAAAATTACCGAGCCAAACTGATCAAGTTTCATGGTGTCCAGTAAGCTATTGACAGCCACCCTTGTATTGTGCAACCCAGGGTCGTAGGGCTACCGAACCGCTATGGGGGGGGGGGGCGAATGGTTAGCACGTGCGCGCTATATCATAAGGCCTGTCATTGAGTCAACTGGCGTGGTTTCGAATCCGCGGCTGTACGTGACAAGGAGTAGGGTTGCCTGTCCAACCTCGTGGGTTTTCTCCGGGTCCTCCGGTCTCCTCCCACTGCTAAAGACCCCTACGCGCATGCGAATTATTGAAATAAAATTAAACCGTACGTTAGTCCCGAAATGACCTAGTTTGTGCCGAGTGGACTTTAAACCCCATTTCCCTCTCTCGCCGAACCGCTATTCCAAATCCAACTGATTTGCCAACAGAGTAATAAAATGTTTGATCATAAATCCACCCCCAAACTAAAAAAACAAAAACATAGCCTACCAACAAGCACTAAGATTTATACATCACTCACTATTCAACATTGTATCCATCACTATATACGAACTACGAATGAATTAGATAAGCACGTAATTACAATGAAAACTAAGTTCTCTTAATACAGACCAGTTTGTCTCTCTGACTTCCTACTGCTGAAATAAATTCAAGATTCACGAGGATAAATGGTGTTACGGATGTCGATTTAGGCCGTATAAGGCCGATTAAAATTAATATCGGTTTCTTATCACCGCCGGCCAAAATTTGACATGTAGAAATATTGTCGTTGCGACATTGTTTTCAAATTTATAGACCAGGAATAGAGAAAAATGATGGCATTATATTCTATTAATTAATGTCTTTGGCAAGCTGTGGGATTCAAACATATTTTCTAATGTGTACATAAATCAAATTAGTGAATGAATGACAGATTGTTATATAAAAAAAGAGTTATAATTTGGTAAACATTAGCTGGTTCCGTGGGAATGAGAATATCACGTTTAACACGTGATCGGAAAATTACGATTGCATCATTTGGCTTAATAAACCGATGTTTATACCTATTTACATCATATTTGACCAATTAGATAATTGAAGGTCCAATACCCAAAGCTACATAACTATCGTATCTGTGAGCATTTGTCAGACAGCAGCTTGATTCTTATGGGAAAAGATGTAGCAATTTCTATCAGCAGACTCGCCCCAGCGAGTTTGAGAGAATGACTTTAGTATTGTAGTCCACTATGCTTGTATCTATGTATCCAGCTATGCTATATAAAATAGTATTGTAGTCTACTATGCTTGTATCTATGTACCCAGCTATGCTATATAAAATGTAAAAATGAACTGTTGCATTGTTATACCTGGTAAGACAAACGTCTTTAACTAACTGAGATAGCTAAGAAGAAGAGAATACACAACGTGAAGTGGAAGCAAAGGCGACAAGTGAAAATGCTAGACGATCACAAGGCTACTAAAATATGTAGTAAGAAAAGATGCATGGGTTATACGCCGGTGGTGGCGACCGGTTTTAGCATGTCCTCCGCTCTCCGCGTCTGACAGAAGACCTATGGTGCTACAATATAAATGGGATGTGCATATTAAATTGCTTTCAAAGTCGTCAGGAATTGTTAGCGACCAGTATTATTATAATGAAATCATCGTGATTATCTAGAAGTGTATCTGAGTATAGTGGTGTTCACGTATTACCCGAGGAAGCATTAGATCTGGAATGAACTATGGTTGTCGGTTAAAAAATATAAGAAATATGCGAAACAAGGAATAGAAGGAGTATCTAGGTGTTGAGTTCTAGAAACTAGAATACCAGACAATTAGTTCTATAAGTTCAGGTCAAGAACAGGCCGCGAGTTCACAAAGCATTCTCAGATATAAGTTAAGAATTTACTCAAAATTGTTCGCCTTATTTAAACTAAAATAAGGCCCTTTATAAAACTTTTGTTGTTTTAATGTATCAAATACATCAATAAGAAACTATGTGCAAAGTTTTGTGTTTCTGGATCAAAGATATTTCTCATAAACAGTTATTGAAAGTTGAGTAAATTCTTAACTTAAGTCTGAGAATGCTTTGTGAACTCGGGTCCTGAATTACAGTTAGACCGACCTTAATTTTCGAAAGGCAAATCGCCAACATTAAACATTTCTCATTTCGGCCTTGGTATGTTGTTTTTTTTTTCAAATCCCAAAAAGGAATTTCGGTATTTACAAACGGCAAAATTGGCATTATTTTCTAGAATCATCAATTCAGCTAAAGTTCATATTAAACAATTGATTTACTAGTTCAGACAGCTCTATCCAATCTTATCCAACAAAGAAAACAATAAAGAATAAATTTCCCGATCAACCCCCCCACCCCCGGCAACCGTAAATACATCATTTTTATTTTCGAGGGGGGTACAATAAACATCCGTTGTATGCCGATTGTCCATCCTGGATATTTACGGAAAGGAAGAATCTACTTCAGCATTTAAATACAAATTCCTAGCTTGTAAGATTGCTTTCAACATTATCAGTGACAAACTAATAATACATTATACTTGGCTTAAACCGGTATTGAATATAACGGGACACAAGATGGCGCAAACTACTGCACGTGATAAATTTTACACTTCAGCCCTATTATTGAAATTAGCATTTGGAATTTGGAATGAGCCTTCTGGGCTTTCGTACTATTATTAAAACATTTAACTCGTATACGCTTATCAGCACATAAATTATATATAGAAACAGGTTGATATACTAATACAAGACTTAAATAAACTAGGTAAATATTGGTCATATTTTGATCAGTGTCGATTATAATTGTTAAAAATAATGTAATTAAAATAGATATAGAAACCTATAGAATGATTATCTATTAATGGTGTTTTTTATATTTTATATTTATGAATAGTATTATTAAATTACTGTAATTGTATCATTATAGTACCAATATAAGTAATTCCTTTTTGCATTTTAATTTAAATTTCCACCCTCCACTTATGAGCGTACTGTAGATTATGGAAATATTGTAATTATATATATACTGACCAGTTCAAACTCAAAATAAAGAACCTGAACTTGATAAAGCTGACATTTGTAATTAATGTATTAAGACTATTTCCTAATAGGGTAAACTAAGGACCAATCAAATGATTTTTTTGGTAATTAGGCATTAATATCTTGGAATAACAACTTACATCAATATTAATGAGCGCATACAAATAATGAATATCAATGAGAGCATGAAATTAATGAATGATATTAATGAGAGCATGAACTTAATGAATGATATTAATGACAGTATGAAATTAATGATGATATTAATGAGGGCATGAACTTAATGAATGATATTAATGACAGTATGAAATTAATGATGATATTAATGAGGGCATGAAATCCATGAGCGCATACAAATAATGAATATCAATGAGAGCATAAATATGCAGTGTTATGCTATTGTATGGTGACTTTATGATATAATTAAATGTTGTTTTTTTTTCATTTGATTGAATATAATGAAGATTTTTTATAGGTTATTCTTGGAGAATATGCATAGTGTTGAATTAGGTTGATGTGATGTGTGAGTTGAGGTTAAAAAGTAGGTGTCAACTCAATACCAATACGTTTTGATAACGGTGTGGGCCGTGTATTCACCTATCAATAACACATGTTGGTAACAACAAGTACAAGTATACTATATGAACCAGGAACAACCATCTTGGAATTGTGATGATGTATTAAAGATTGTCATAAAAACAAGCATGCCAAGTTTCACATTGATCATACTCGAATTGACAGAGCCTTAGTATTTTTTCATGGGCATCTGAAATTAACTTCTGCCATTTCAAAAGAATAAATGTGAAATCATAATGCTAACAATATTTTTATTAAAAATACATTATACAAGAGCTAAATCTGCCTATTGCAGGTCTTTCTTTAGGACTGAAATGTTATCTAAATTATTAATTAGACATTAATTAACTTATCCAGACCATAATCAACTCTTGGTGTCATCACTAGCCTGCGATATTTATTGGATTAGAATCCGATCTGCTGCTCAACGCTTATTGATGATTAAATCAAAAAATGGATAATCCAGATGTTTTTTTATTGTACCGACTTTAGTAATGATGATCGAGGCTAGGTCTAAAAATTAAACGCTAAATTCTTGGTTCAGAATGGATCAATTTGACTGAGAATTTCAGCAAATTCCCATTACATTATCTAGTTTTTAACTAATATAGTGAGAAATGCCAGCTCGTTATCTAATCTCCCATGATGTATCTTTAAGAAATAGAACTTTGAACAAGGGCAGGTGAATCAACTCAGTCTATTTTAACCCCTGTCTTAATGTTCTTTTGGCTAAGCTTTATCACAAAAACAATTTATGAGACGAGACCATGATTTGAACCATTATTTCCTAAGGTAATAAGTCTGTTTTGTAAATATATAATTTGTGGAAAGGTCCATGTACCTGGTATTCACATAAGAAACGATTCATCTGACATTCGCTTGGAAGATCATGGCAAACTGTTTTTTTTTTACAGTGCAAATGCTGTAGCTGTTATTGCTGGTGTGACAAAGGCTCAGTTCTTGGCCCATTTCTATTACTTTCAAAAACTTATGTTCTTATTTCTTCTTCAGCAATCAAGATTGTAACAAAATGTTGAATAAGATAATCTATCTTTTTGTGTCTTATGTGTTGATTTAATGGATTCCAAGTTCAACTCCATAAAATATAGTCTTGTTTCAATAAATCTATAGGAACTCATATTATGTTGTCTATGTCATGAGCTAAACTTTTCTCACTCTTCTTTTTGCAATTTGTCTTTGTAGGCCTTGAGCTGAAAGTATAATAGAATTAGCAGAATGTACAAACAATTCAGAATCGTGCAGTGTTGAACTTGAAGAGAGAGAGAATATGGTTTAATGTCCACTAGTCATCTTTGGTGCAACATAGTATATTCTATTTCTATAAATTCATGTATGCAAGGGTCTTTAGCACTGGGACTACCCAGAGAAAACCCACTCAGACTAAGCATCTAGAAACCAGGGATAGAACCAATGAATTTATTATCTGTGGTTCAATCACCCAGACATCCAAACCTCCTTAACTGGCAAACATCAATTTTATATAAGAAACTCTTTGTGGTTACAATAATCAAATCTTTGGAAGGTTCAACTTAAAATGTGTTAAAGGTCGTTAACAAGGTGGAGAATTATATGTCTGAACCCTGTTGGAGACAGACCACCGTTAAATTTCACCATCTCGGTACCCACAAACTGTAGTTTATCTATTTATAGCAATTCTCTCTGTGTATCTTTTCTCCCCCTTTGCATGCCCATTTTTGTTGATTTTTTGGTCTAGAATGGACGAAGGGGGTTTGAATTAACATTTTCTGCCAGGTTTTGGTAATTATTTATGATTTTGAGGCGGACGGATAACAGGGTTATCAGGTTGGCTACGGTGATATGTACGGCAACTAGTTACATGTTTTTAGAACGCTTCTTCAAGTTTGTGTATCTCAAAATTTTGGTGGTCAACCTCATAAAAATTTTAGTGCAAAGACATGACCATTTTGGGGAAAAGTTGGAGGTGGGCAAAGAGGCCAGAATTAACATTGACGTCAATGGGAAAATTAATGGTGGTCTGCCTCCTGTTGCCAAAACGGAGTTATTTCCCTTAAATGGTAACCACTGATACTTACCATCAATACGTTTTATTCTACCACCATATAACATATTATTTTTAAAATCTTGCGCTGTTTGTGAAATATTGGTATTTTTAGATCCGACAGATTTTACCACTAAACCTTTACTACTGTAAAATAAATAAATAAACAGATCAATTATTGATTGAAACAAAAGTAAACAGTGACGCTTAAATGTCCCCCCCCCCCACCAAAAAAACTGAAAAAGAGAGAGAAAGAGAGAGAGAGAGGGTTTAACCCGGATAAAACCCACAAGTTTGGACAGGTGACCCTACTCTTTGTCATGTACAAGTGGGGAATCAAAACCACACTAGATGACTCAATGACAGACCTTATGATACAGTGCGCACATGCTAACCATTCGGCCATTACCCCCCCACCCCTTGTACCCCTTAAACATAAGCCTTAAAGGAAACAAGCCAACATTGAGGCTGATGTCCCCTGCCAACTGAAAACGTAACTAGATGACACACATTTTTGAAATTGCATATTTATCTTTTTATAAAGCAGTGATCAATTTGCTTATCAGCGTTTAATGGAAGCAGAAATATGTTCTGAACGTGACATACTAACAGATGCATTATTAAATGCTCATTGTCGAATTTAGTCAAGATATTGATATAATGAAACTATACACCGAGTTTCATCACTCTGTTTTAATTACTCATTCAAGTCTAGTCATTCTTATTTTAAAGTGAAATAACCGTTAACTAGACTTCTGGATACCCGCAAAGACGATGCCTTAAAAAAAATAACAAACATAATTAGAGCCATATTAAAGGGGCATTAGAGGTAAGATTAGATAAAGAACTTACAGTTCTCACTATAATAATTAAAAAATAGATAATGAAAACAAAGTATGCTGAATATTTCAATCAACTTGCTTCACCCAAGTGCATAATGTATCTTTATAAAATATGGTTCTAATTATGTTAATATTTTTTTGTTTCTAGTCCATAACCCACCTGTTTAATGGAATAAATTCTTCACTTTCTATATGTTTTTCTTCACCTAACATTTCTAAATCATCATCTTCAAACTTTATTCTTTCTGGGGAAAAAAAAAAAAAGCAACATGAGTTGACAATTATCGAACAAGAATGATAGTCAGAAACAAAGAAATGTCCGTACCTGAAACCATACAGCAATTTGCATCAAGCAATTCTCTTTGTTTGATCATTCAGTGCACAGAGAAAAAGAGAAATGGCTTTAACGTTCACTCGACACAAACTAGGTCATTTCGGGACTAACATATAGTTAAATTTTATTTCAACAATTCGCTTGCGTGTAGGTCTTTAGCGGTGGTAGGAAACCGGAGGAGCCAGAGAAAACCCAGGGAATCGAAACCATCCAGTGCAAATTAAAATATCATACTGTAATATATACTATTCAAAAAAAGTAGGGGATATTTGATTTTGGGGGCATAATACTAAAATATGCAAATGACTACGAAAAAAGTAACTATAGAACCTAACAGAAGAAACATTTCCAGTTACATGTGACGTCCAAACGCACCAATAGCTACCGCATGGAATGCAGGTGATGCTTGGGATCATCATGGGGGTCCAACCCAAGATTTGCACGACTCTGACTTTGAATGTTACAGTCATTGTGGCATTGAATTCCAGGGTGGAAACATCAGTTCAATTGTTTTAGTGACCAGAAAACAAATTTTGATATGCGTCGGCTTACCCAAAATGAAAGGTTACGTGCCCTTGGCATGCTACAGATCGACACAACACAGGCGGTTGTGGCGCGGACGATGAATGTTTCTCAGTCTGTCATAAGCAGGCTATGGTCCAGATACCGTGATACACAATCTGTACAGGACAGACCACGCTCAGGTCGACCAAGGGCGACAACTCAAGCCCAGGATCGATTTATCCGTACCTTGGCCTTGAGAAATCGTGTCATCACAGCAAATCAGATCAGCGCTCATCTTCAAACATACACTGGTGTGAGAGTGAGTGGCCAGACGATTCGGAATCGACTGCATAGGGGTCACCTTCGCGCCCAACGTCCTCGCGTGATCCCTTGTTTGAGAGATCATCACATTCAGGCAAGACGTCGTTGGTGTAGGGATCGTCAACACTGGGATAATCGACGCTGGAGCGATGTGATGTTTTCAGATGAGTCAAGGTTCACTGTTGATTTTTTGGACAGACGTAGGAGGGTGTGGCGTCGTCGAAACGAGTGCTTCCAAGACGTTAACGTCATCAGACATGATCGAATTGGGGGTGGTTCTGTTATGGTGTGGGGAGGCATCACTGTTGCTGGAAGAACGGCTTTACATGTTGTTGCAGGGCGTGTTACAGGCCAGTACTACCGGGACAACATCTTGGCAGTCCATGTTGTGCCGTTCGCACGACGTCATGGCCGCCGTTTCATCTTCCAGGATGACAACGCAAGATGTCACAGGGCCAGGATCGTTACAGGTTACCTCCAACAACAGAACATCACCACATTACCTTGGCCAGCACTGAGTCCCGACCTCTCCCCCATCGAGCATGTCTGGGACATGCTTGGACAGAGGTTACGTCAACGTCAACAACGTCCTGCCAATGTCCAAGAACTTGCTGCTGCGTTGCAACAGGAATGGGACAATCTGGACCAAAATGACCTTAGACGTCTCATTAGGAGTATGCCACGTCGGATCAATGCTTGTTTGGCAAACAGAGGAGGATTTACCCGTTACTGACTTGGTTGTGATGCTGTGGTAACTTTGCTGTTTGACCCCGGGTATCATTTTACCCTTATAATGGTCAGTCTGTGCCTTACTTAGTCTAACGATCATTTGGAATAAATCGATGAATGTGAACTTCATTTCATTTTGTCATTTGTTTCTTCGTCAGTTTCATTAGGTGACTTTAATAACACTTAAAAATCAAATATCCCCTACTTTTTTTGAATAGTATATTACAAAATGGCAGCTCACAAGTCCGTGCAAATTTGGACACAGGACTGCCAATTTGACCAGTGACAGTAGTGGTAATTCATGCACTGTCGTCTGTAAATTGATTGTACATGCACACATGGTGCCTTGATTTCAACAACATCAAAAGAAATTGATGGAACTACTTCACACTTTCATTTGTTATATTTTAAAAGGGAATAACTTACTGTTATTTTCAACATCATTATCAGTTGACTTTCGATGTTTTTTAAGTGGTTTTCCTGAAACAGCTTCTAAAATATCATCTGATAATTTATTCTTCTCAAAATTCTTTAATTTCTGTTTCTATTGAATCAAAAATACAACAAAGACAGATAAACATTAGAGAGAGAGAGAGAGAGAGAGAGAGAGAAATGGGGTTTAACATCCACTCGACACAAACTAGATCATTTTGGGACTAACGTATGGTTCAATTTTATTTCAATAATTCGCATGCGCATAGGGGGTCTTTAGCAATGGGAGGAAACCGGAGGACCCGGAGAAAACCCAGAAGGTTGGACAGGCGACCCCACTAATTGTCACGTACAACTGGGGAATCGAAACCAAGCCAGATGACTCAATGAAAGACTTTATGATACAGCGCGCACACGCTAACCATTCAGCCATCCAACCCCCAAACATTATAGAAAAAGGAAAGAACCATACATGTAGCAGTGTGACTGAACAACGATGTTATGATCTACTCTTACATGTACTTTGAATTCCAACAGCCAAGGGTTTTTTTTAAGTGCACACCAACCTCCACCCATGTACATACAAGTATTGACATGTATTAAAAAGAACCCTTGGCAATTGGAATTTGAAGAAGGGTATGACAAGGACAGCTATCTAGTGATTCGGATAGGATGGAAAACCGAGGTCCCGGGTACACATTGACATGCATATAAAGATCCCTTGGCAGTTTGAAGAAGAGTAAACATAATTGTTGGTGTCCTAACAAATATCTAATCCCCACATTACACACAAAATTTACCATATGTTAGTCTCAAAATGACCAACAAAATATTGAGGCACCAAACTCCATTCCATGTAAGCTACAGGAACATACATGTAGCACCAAATATTTATCCATTCCTCTACATAGTTCTTACTTCAAAAAAGAAAGTATATCGTGTGTTCTAGAACGGTGCATAACAGTTGGATGCTAAACCCCATTTCATTTCATTTTGCATGACAGCTACCACCACCTACATGTACATGTACAGCTATAAATTAGGGTGATATACTGAAACCAATGTGAACAATAAATACACTTACCTTTTGTTGTTGAAATAATTCATCCTTTAGCTTTCGTTTATTTTTCGTGGTGGCTTTTTCATTTTTTAACACATTAATAGCATTCTTTATCTTTTTCAAAGCTAAATCTTTGCTGACATTGAAACCAATATCTTCAGGAGCAGCATCACTGTCGTCATCATCTACATCACTTGGTAACAACAAGTTATCTTCTTCCTCCTCCTCTACAAAACACACAAAGATACATTATAGAGACAGAGAGAGAGAGAGAGAGAGAGAGAGAGAGAGAAATTAGGTTTAACATCCACTGGACACAAACTAGACTATTTTGGGACTATCACACGGTTCAATTTTATTTCAACAATTCGCTTGCGTGTAGGGGTCTTTAGCAGTGGGAGGAAACTGGAGGGTCCCGAGAAAACCCACAAAGTTAGACAGGTGACCCTACTCCTTGTCGCGTACAACCAGGGAATCGGAACTATGCCAGTTGACTTAATGACAGTGCACACATGCTAACCATTTGCGCGCCGGCCGCGCCCCCTCCACACCCCCCACACAAAGATACATTATAATACATGTATGTAGCAGATACATGTAATTCATCTTTATGAATAAGTGCCATACACAAGGCAGTGTATGCTATGCTAAGGAGAGAGAGAGAAATGGGGTTTAACGGTCATTCGACACAAACCAGGTGATTTTGGGTCTAACATATGGTTCAATTTTATTTCCATAATTTGCTTGCGCGTAGGGGTCTTTAGCAATGGGAGGAAACCGGAGGACCCGGAGAAAACCCACGAGGTTGGACAGACGACCCTACTCCTTGTCACGTACAACCGGGGACTCAAAACCACGCCAGTTGACTCAATGACAGACTTTATGATACAGTGCATACGTGCTAACCATTCAACCATCCAACCCCCCTCGCTATATATGCTAAGGAGTTCACATAGGGAACAAAATTCTGTATTGTTGTCTGTTGACTTTATAAGCTGTCACTTAGATGTAGAAGCTTTGAAAGGTTTGAAGAACTGTCCATATATTATATTGCATACCAGTACCAATTTTACTTGATCAACGATGTATTGACAACCTTACACAAGAATGGAGAATGGCTTGTTAGAGAGCAAGATCATGAGTATAATAATTATAAAGGAAATTGTCCTGCTCTATATGGTTAGCCTTACTTCACTAATACTATTATTAGTAATAGTTTATGTATTTTGCATCAACTGTTTATGTGTTTTTCATTACTAATAAACTGAGGACGTTAAACTCCATTTCATGCCCATAGTCCATGCAATCATATTTTTAAGTTAGTTACCCCCTTCCTCGCTCTCTTCGTCTTCATCTTCTTCGCTGTTTTCTTCATTATTTAAATCATCAAAATCAGCATCCGATTCCTCGTCACTGCCATCATCAATAGCTTTAAGGTTTCTCAATCGTCTAGACATAGTTTAATTTGTTAATATGGACAGAATCAGAGAATTTAGAATTTATCCAAAGCACTGTTTACAATATTTTCAACTCACGTGTAAACAGACACGTCTTACGAACGGTTGTCGTAAATAATTTCAGTCTTGATAACCCAGTCCTTCCGCTTTTCCGGCCAATATTACCGTGGAGAGACGATTCTGGCGAATTCTGGGCGAGATCTCGACGAATCTGTTTGAAATCATGGTCCCTGGGAGCTTGTCTGGAAAATTTCTTTCATAAATACACCAGAAAGAATTCAGTAGACCTAGACTATACATTTTACATGTACCAAAAATTAGAAGTAGTAAAAATACTTGCGGCTAAAATATCCCGCACTGGAGGCTCCTTGACAAATTTATGCCTTATATGGAGTTTAGTGAATCGGGCTAGGGTGGTTACCGATCTGCATTACCTTTCTCCGGGGGATGTCCAGGAAATAGAACGAGCTTGCAGATTGTTTCAATGGCCGATTCCCATCGGTTAACTTTTTCCCCAGTAAACAGTTTTGCAGGGTTATTTCATTGGCGGGTCTTAGTCGTGGCCCTGATCATGTTATCCCCAGAGGACCGCCAATGGTTTAAGTTTAAATGTATTTAGTTGATATATGATTTGGGGAGACCTTTTTTGGTCTAGCCCTATTCCTTTCTGGGGCCTTTTAAACTGGGGGAGTATGTCGTGTTCTGTGATACTGTTTAGATAACAACATACCAAATTTATCTCCTATTCAGCCACAGTAGCACTTTTCTATTAGAGTTCATTAATTGGCTCGCCCAAACTCAACTGTATTCAGAGAACGCCTAAACTCATCAACATTTACCAGAATTTTGAATTTACGGGATCACTTAATGCCTAAATTTTTAAAGTTTATAACGGGTTCGTATATTCATTTATTTTTTTTTTTAGATTTTTTCCAAATGACTAAGATTTGAAATAATTTGAATTTGTTATACATAATTTTAAAAGAAACTACGGGAAAAGAAATTAATATATAGTGCTGCTATTAAATCGAGTTTAAATACTTTAGATTTCTACGGCCTACTCTTAATTCGATTCCAACTGTCGGTGGGTCTCTACCGTGCTGTAATTGGTATACATGGGTCCTCAAGTTTGTCTCTTACAATTTCTTTTAATTTCTTAACATGTATATAGGCCCCTACATTTTTAAATGTTTCCGATATAAAAATAACACACTAATATGGATATACTACTTCTGAATTTTATTAACATGCTACGTTTCAATACTCATACAGGTATCGTTATCAAGCAAATAATGATTAATTAACAAAAACGTCGTGCAATATTCCCTGAAAACAAAGTTAAGACGATCATGAAGAAAACCCCCACGCATACGTGCAAACCACCCCAATTTAAGCTGCAAGAAATAATAACCCGATATTCGTTAGTGAAATCTATTTCTATATGTCTTATAAGGATTATGTTTCCGATATATTTTCATTTTTACCATGAATATGTATTTCATGTTTCGGGATTTCCCGGCGTGTTCCCCATTGTCGGTGGTGGAGCCTAGGACAGTCTGGTAAGGGGCAACGAATAGTCGTTCGGATGGGGTCGAAAAACTAAGTGACGTGCACGTTAAAGGTCCCTTGACAGTTGGAATTCGATATAATAGTAGACACACTGTATGTCGTATGCCCGTCTTCATTAGCCCACTCGGGACCGAATATTAGGACGTTAGAAACTTCATTCATTTGTCTCTTACATGAACGACTAGACGGGTTTCCTAGCCAGGCCTTTCAAGTTAGTGAGCCAGTACAAGTCACGTGGTATAAAAAGAGTACGAAATGGAACAGGGACCATACGCGTCGTTACCGTAGGCATAATGGCATTATGCGGCCAAAAAAGAAAAAAAAAATCTATATGTTCATCATAAACTACGTTATTTCGGGACTAACACATCGTTCTACCGGGTTCAACAGCATTACAATAATTCGCCTGCGCGTAAGGGTCTTTAACAGTGGGGGGGGGGGGGGGCAGAGAGCCCGAGAAAACCCACGAGGTTGGGCAGGCGACCCTTCTGCCTGTCACGTACAAGCGGAGGCTAGAAACTACGCCAATTGACTCAATTACCTAATGCAGATCCTTGTGGCACGCCAAACTTGATTTCACATTAGTGTTTGCTTGATCCAATCAAATCAATAATTAAAAACTGCCCTATTACGTACTGATAAATATGACACTTATATAGCTAGTAAGGTGCACCCCAGGTAATGCCAACTCGGAGTTCAGTTGTCTTCAGTAATACAGAATGATCTATCGTGTCGAACACTGCAGACAAATAAATCGGAAAGAAAATTGGACCAGCATCATTATCGATAGTTTTAAGAATGTCAGTTTGTATGCAGCAGCGATGTGGCCAGTGATATACGCCAAGTGTATTCTCCCACCAAGGATATTATCGTGCATGGGTTCTACGAGTTTTGAACTGGGCAGTGGCATACAGAGGTTTGGTGATGCCCGGGGCGATTATTCACGAAAACTTAAACTAAGATACAATCGAAATTTTAAGAAGTACTGCAATTCGATTGGCTGACCAGTAAAATCAATTTGCATATATACAATTTGCATATTGGTCAGCCAATCGAATTGCAGTATTTCTTAAAATTTCGATTGTATCTTATTTTGAGTTTTCGTGAATAAGGGCCCGGGTCTTACGCCTTGATAGTAGGCCTATACATGTAGGTATAAATCGGAGTACTAAGGAAAGTGAAAAAGGAAAGACATTGTAAATACACGTATGGCAAACAGTTGAAATAAACCTTTTATTCAAATTAAATATAATTGGATGCCCTCTCCACCCTGAAATCGGTGTCTGGGGATGTCGCTCCCTCTGCCACCCTTCCACTCCCTGTACACAACCGAAACTGGGCGATAAGAACTGCAGGGAGGTGCTTCTTTGTGTGGAATTGACTCGGTACCCGGTTTGGATGATTTATTCCGTGGGTTTATATTTTTGTTATTGTCTTCAGCTTATACTCTGCTAAACGCCTTTAACAACTCATCTGTTAATATATAGGCCTACCATTTACTCACCTTACTTTAAGGTAGCCTGTTTTGTGACCATTTTAAAAGGGGACCTAGCCAATCTAGGTATCAAGCCAAACCGCGACAAAGGCTATATTAATAAGATTTGTGTCAGTGACTCAACTCAGAGCAAGCCGCGTATGATCCTTATAGGGGGTGTGTGGGTCGATGTGCAAAATAAAAAGGGAACCTAGCCAAACCAGGTACAAAGCTAATCCGCTACCGGCAGACTAACAAAGGCTTACACATATAAGATTTGTATAAGTGACTAAACTCAGAACAATCTGGGAAGCATCCTTATAGGGGATTGGGATTCGTGGTGATGTATCAAGATTGTATTGTTAGAATTTTTGCCCTTTAAATTAATACAGTTAGCATTATATTGTCTGGGGGCGAAAAAAAAAGACTGCCGGAAATGCAGTCTGGTGGTATTTCAGGCACTCAACGTCGAGAAGCTTTCTGAGCGATTTCCGGCTAATACAATTACAATTACACAGCATATCAATACCAAGATTGTGGACACTCTAGACGTCACAATTTTTATCCGATTTTGATGAAACTTAAAACGACTATCACCAGTTCTTGGATGAGTTCAATTTTGGTGCTCAATGGTCCCCTGCCTTTTACGCAAAATATGAAATATGAATAACGTTTGTGGACCTTCCAGTGGCGAAAATTATTGTCCGATTCATGAGATGAAACTTAAACTGTGTGTTAAGGATCAAAAGTTTTTGGACGAGTTCGACTTTGGTACGCACGAGACATCACATTCAAGAGATATAGTCCCTGCTTTTTACGCAAAATGTGAAATATGTATGGATTTGGTAGGCCCTCCAGAGGGTCTACAATTGTTGTCCCATTCTGAGGAAACTTAACAAATATGTTAAGGATCAAAAGATCTTGAATGGGAGGATGAGCCGTATTGATTTTACCTCTTCCCCATACATATCTTGCAAAATGTGGGTGTATCTTGCGTGACAACTGCTTGTTTCAACTGGTCATGACTGATAGCAGTGAATTATTTGATGGATAAGGGACACAAGGAAGTGAGATGGAGTTGAAATAAAGATCGACTGTTCAGTTAACTAATCGTGACCCTCGCAACTATGGGTCTTTCAACCCAGGGATCAGCAGGGTTTTCTTCTAAAAGTCTGCGCTCCAGAAGTCTCACTTCTGTGTTAAAATCAGGCGTCGGAGTACTTGCCCCCCCCCCACTCCGCGTGGTCTGTTTTCCGCCGGGTCTGTTTGGTAAAAAATCACTTTGACTCTACAACATATGTAGCACTTTCGTCGTTGCGACATTGGTTTTAAATTTATAGACAAAGAATAGAGAAATAAGATGGCTTTATATTTCATTAATTAATATCCTTGGCAAGTTGGTAGGTTCCCACATATGTAGAATTGTACTAAATCAACTTAGTCTATAATTGACATATTGTTATATAAAAAAGAACTATTTAGCCAAAACGTGTCAATAATTTACCCCCCAGATTTACACGTGAGTGGAATTATTCTAATTGCATCATTTAGCTTAAAGTAACCAATCATATCGTTAATTGCACAGGTTCAGGGCCATGAACACGCTTATTTCTGCGTGATAAACGTGGGTGCTATATAAGATATCTATTTGAACCTTTCAAGTCAGACTTCTATTAGGTTCCAGAGAGCTTCCATCTGAGTTCTTAGACAGCCGCGAGGCTGGCTAGGGTAGAGAAATGGTTTTAGCTAGTATTGTTATCTATTATGCTTGTATACCTGTATTCAGCTATATATATATATATAAAATATGTAGAAGCAAACTGTCGCATTGTTATTCCTGGTAAGACAGACGTCTTAAGAAACTGTAAGAAGTAAATACACAACGTGAAGCAGAAGTAAAGACAGCTAGAGACAAATATTCTAGACGATCACAAGGCTACAGAAACATAGGCGTACGAGCCAGGGAGGGCAGGGGGGGGGGGGGCGGGGGCAGCTGCCCCCCTAACTTTCGGGCAAGCTGACTTTTCGGGCAGACGGGTAAAGTGAAAAAAATTTTTTATTTCATCTACTTGGCAAAATAAAGTGCCCGAAATCTAATAAAACACTAATTTTACGGGCTGGAATAGCAGTAAAACGCGTTTGCGGCCGTCAAATATTCCAAAATTTTTCTTGGGGGGGGGGGGTCCTTACAAGGTCAGCTCCGCATCTTCGCCTCTCGAAGAAAACCGGCGCCGCTGTCTGTAAACCTGAAATTTTTCGGGCATTCCCTGTCACCGAGCCCTAATAAAACACTAATTTTACTTATCTTTTAATTGAATACCACGAATTTGTACTGAGTTGACTATGGATTAAAACATTTTGTCTGGAGCCACTCTACTTTGTGCGACATTTTTCGGGCATCGATTATTATTTGTGAATGCAGCTGCAACAGTCTGATTGAATGGTTGGAATTCAAAATGGGATTTAGGTTACAAAACCATTGGATACTGTTGGAGTTGCTTACACGGGCTAGAATAGCAGAAAACGCATATGCGGTGGTTAAATTTTCAAAATTTTCTCCGGGAGGGTGAGGCCTCCATACTCCGCGACGATTGATTGGTTGTTTGGAATTCGGGTCAGCCAGGTGGGCTATATTGGACCAAATTGAAGTTGCTGTATTCACAGGCCGGAATAGCAGGAAAACGCGTTTGCGGCAGTTAAATTTTCAAAATTTTCTGCTAACGGTCCCGTCTTCGTGGACTGTAAACGATTGATCTTTTGATTGGAATTCGAGTCAGCCATCTTAATTAGGCTATAATAGACCACTTTGTTCAAGGACTGAAATAGCAGGAAAACGTGTTTGCAGCCGTCAGGTATTCCAAAATTTCCTTTGGGGAGGGGGGGGGGGGTCCATGCAAGGTAAGCTCTGCTTCTCGCCTCTCGAGGAAGACCGACGCCGCTGTCTGTAAACCCGAAATTTTTTCGGGCATTTCGGGTTCTGCCCCCCTAACTGTCATCGAGCCCGTACGCCTATATGTACAGAAATATGTAGTAAGAAAAGATGCATGGGTCGTACATAGGATGTGGCGACCGGTTTCCTCGTCCGCTCTCCACGTCAGACAAAGGACCTATGTTGCTACACATGCAAGTCTATGACTGGGTGGGAATGTGGGGTCTAATCACCGTAGAAGGCGTTGATTACCAAAACACATATCAGAAATGTTTTATTTATTTAAAATTGTGGAGGGGGTGGGGGGACGGAGGGTAGACCCGAATAAAGGAGGGAGGGGGGCTCCTTGACCACCCCACCCCCACTGGCGCCGCCACTGAAAGTAAGCCACCTTGAAAAACAAAATGGAGCTTATTGTCCATACGACCAAGTTATTCTACCAATTGGAATCGGGGGAAATTTCAGATTTGCGCTACAATTAGTAATAATAAATGAAGTGCAGTTTAAACGAAATTTATACTTTTTAAGCAAAAATAAATAAAATATATTCCTAAAATGCATTGCATTGCAAATTTCGGGTTATTGATACAATAAAAAATTGAGCACATTTTGTCGATTTGCTAAATTCATTAACCATTAATTGAGCGAAACTGAGATTGCATTCCATTGACGTTAAGCATTGTGTTGGTTTGGCGTTGACCTCTTTGTCTACCACCTTGCTGCTGAACGTTCTGGGTTTGACCACTTAGTGTACCACCTTGCTGCTGACCGTTCTGGGCTTCAGCGTACATCTTTGTCCATACGGATTTGTGCGTTTCGTCTGAAATGAAATGGAAAATGAAATGAGGTTTAACGTCCTACTACTTCCAAACAGGCCAATGTATATCCGATAGCAGCGTTTTCACCTACTCTGCGTCAAATGTATACACGGGACCTGCGGTTTTCGTACACCCTAACGCAGTGGCGGGCAAACTTTTTAGGTGAAGGGCCAAACACAATGGTTTGCAATCTGATTAAAATACAGATCTATATTTCGTTTCGTTTTTTATACTTTCGATGGCCTACACTACATGAAGATCTGACAAGTTATAGCGGGAGTTCACGTCAGGTGTCAAACTAGCGGCTTTTGATCCTATGACGTCACTAACAAACCAAATAGGATCTATGTTTTATTCAGATTAGATATTGTAGGGAATGTCCACGATGTTATGGAGGCAATTGCTCCCCAAACAATACTGTGGCCGTTTTAAGAACTCATCTTTCGCCTTTGCTTTCTGATATTGGATTATGTTTATATGAATGGCCCATTTCAGTTCACATCGGTGGTTGTCTGTCATTGAGGCAAACGGGTCCTTCTCTAGCTAGGTAGTCGTAAATGTAATTTTACACAAATATTGTGAGAAATGGTAGTAAATATGTAAATATAACTATAATACGCAGAAGAATTTAGATAACAATGGCCATACTTACATACGGTAAAATCCGGCTCCAAAACTTCAGATCGGATATTATTCCAGAATGTTGAGAAATTAGTCAAAACCAGTGATCTGTAAGTAAATGAATTAATTCATAAATTCTTATTAACGTTTACTGTTAATATACACAAATATAAAATACATGTATATCTTTTAAAAACTGCCATTGTCTGTACACAGTCTGTACACAATCTGAACTTTTATTGTTTAAAAACGTACATAAATCTGAAACGTCATTGTTTTCGAGAAATGAAATGAAATGGGTTTAACGTCCTACTGTTTTGCTCCGAAATCGGTTAATGAAGACGGCCATACGCCATACAGTGTGCTATGAGGGAAATTTTGACCGGCCAGCGGTACTACGGCTTACACTACGGCTTGCTCTTACATCGAGTTCCAACTGTCAGGGGATCTTTTACGTGCACGCCAATGTGTACACGCGACCTCGGTTTTTCGTCCTAGAAAGCTGTCCTGGTCAGGCCCTCCGTCCTGCATCACTAACAAAGGGGAACCACGCCGGAAAATCTGGATAAACTTTCTCGGCCAATGCAGGGATCGAACACCCGACCTCCAGGCTAGCGAGCCAGCACCTTAATTAGCCACCGTGACCCCCATTGTTATCAAGCAATCTAAATTTTTATTGTTTATACCATAGACATATAATGTTTATACAAATGGAACTTTACGTTGAACCCTAGACTAAATAAATTAACCCTGTGTTGATAAACAAAACTTACATAAACTGAACGTTTCCAATATGGACAAGTTCTGGTGGAGTCCACAGAAATGTAATGGATGTTTTTGGTGAATTATCAGTATGCGTCATTCCACAGTTACCCGCTGTTCGGACATTACTTGTCACATTATCTACACGACCATTAAAAGACGCTGATGTTGTATCAGCCGTGAAGAAAAATCCCTTAAAACTGGCTCCATCCCCGGAAATAGTAACTGAAAATAAAAGAAATCCAATTGAATCAGGGCACACCAGGGCATATATTTAGGATAGCAAGTATAGTTGGGGGCAAATTATTAAAGATACATTATGTAAGATTTAGATAAAGAGCTATCCATTCTTGCTATAATAGTTCGAAAATAGATAATGTAAAATTAATAATTTGAAAATTTCATTCAAATTACTCTATTGTGAGTGAAGATATTAGCCTAGGAAGGTTTGACAAGACGTGTGCAATAATTTCAACCACCGTATTGATTGTTCGAAAGCTCGCTCCTTCATTTTTAGCTTAAATCAAAATATAGCTGAATTGTTCTAATCTATTTAATATCGGAGAAATCCGATGCCATCGAGAGTTGATTATGGCCTGGATAAGTTAATTAATGTCTGATTAATAATTTAGAAAACATTTCAGGCCTAAAGAAAGACCTGCAATAAGCAGTTTTAGCTCTTGGATAATGTATATTTAATTTGTAATAAAAGTTAAGGACCAGTGGGGCAATACCGATGATGTAAAGATAAAATCTCACGCGTTTAGTACAATTTGAGAGAGCGAAAAGTACGTATATTTAGGTCAATCTCGAACTTGTAACACAAAGCACAGGGCACCCACACCCGCAAACTAATGAAAGACATACCGAAGTTACAAACATTTTTCTTGTCCTATGGAAGAGCCAACCCGGACAAAGCGTTAGGATTTTGTTTTCGTTGACGGCGTGGTGATAGGTGATAAGAGCTCCGCAGACACAAACACCCCCCACCCCCAAAAAAAAGGTATTGCTAGATCCCACATGGACAGTTTTGCACATCTTAAACCTTTGTACAAGATTCCTGTGGAGAACAAAGGACGTCGCCCTACCAAACAGTACTGAAATCTTCACCCACTAATATATTTACATTAAAAGCAACATTAGTTATAGAAAAAAGTGTTTCAGCTCTGTAATTTACAAAACAATCATTGAATTTTTAAAAATAATGAGAAGGACCCTGTAGTCAAATAACAATGAGAAGGGCCCTTTAGTCAAGTAACAATGAGAAGGGCCCTTTAGTCAAGTAACAATGTCTTAAATATGTCAAGTTAAAGATGCATGATGTCAGATTTAGATAAAGAACTGACAGGTCTCGCTATTATAATTTAAAAACAGATAATGGAAAGAAGTTTATCATGCAATAACAAATTCTACAATAGATATCGCTTGTGTGATAAATTTCATAATCTACTGAATTGGATTGGTCAATTAAAAAGGAACTACTTTTTTTATTTTCAAAGAACAATTAATTTTTTATTAAAAGTAAATTCTTTCTTATTAAAAAGGAACTAATTTTATTTAATTGACTTTAATGGAAACACTGGGTCAATATAAAGGATTTTGCAATGGTTGAATTGCTGTCAAAAAATGACGTATCACTACGCCGTAATGTCATCAGGTTCAGTAAAAGTTAAATCTATAGCAAAGAATTATATGTAAGAAAGGATTGGGTGATAAATAAAATCTCAAACTCGTTTTTTTATATCAAAAATGATCAACACTCGTCGATAAATTAGAAATAAAAACTCGTCAAAGACTCGTTTTTTTTAACTTATCGACTTTGTGGATGACACGACGCCACATATATCGCAATCTTTTTAATTGATTGATATACATTTTGTTCAATCTAGCTACAATGTTCTGCAGTGGCTGCTGAAATGAGGTGCGTACGATCTGACAAAATCATCAAGCTAACTCCAACAGAAGGGGTGCAATATAATCGATTGTTGGGGTTTTGGCTGTAACATGCAAGTCAAATGAATACAGCTTTGAGATCACAGACAGTGCTCGTGACTACATATGGCGAAGTATATAAATACTAAATCGAGAAAATGGTGGATGTTCTAAAACAGTTTACTTGAAATTGACGCAAGCTATTCAATTTATAACAATAACAAATATGTCCTGGTTCAAAAAATGAATATATGTCGGGACTCAGTTAAACGATAATATATAACTTTTTTCCATGCGAATTTTATAAAAAAAAAAAAAAAAATATCTTTCACCTAATATTATCTATTTGAGAATAAACCGATGATTTAAACGCCATTAAAGATAAGACTGTCCATCAACTTTAGTCGTGACAATCTGTCACAAAACATGAATATATACATGTACAGCCCAGAGTTAAATGAGGATGGTAAGGAAACGCCCCAGGCAGATCATTATGTATCCAAGAATAACAATATATGCACTAGATATGCACAACCCGTTGTTGTTGAAAAATTATATTAACACAAACCGCCTCAGGTACCGCAAACTAAAGCGACGAAAATGTTTAGTGATAGTTAAAGTTTTTGGAAAATATACTGTTTTCTACGAAATTGAGAATTGCAAATACAAAATTGAAAACCTGTATTTAAAAGTAGAAATTAGGTTTGAAATTAGAAATAACAAATCTATATTATGTATGAAATAGTTCGAATGTCAGCTTCCGTAGTTTTCATATCATGCGTCCTTAAAAACTCTTCAAGAAAATTGATTAAAAGAATACAGTCGAAATTGTAGGGCTAATAGTACCTTTGAAAACACATGTTTCTAAGTTAAACATACATTATGCAAGAGCTAAATCTGTCTATTGCAGGTCTTTCTTTTGGCCTGAAATGTTATTTAAATTATTAATTAGGCATTAATTAACTTATCCAGACCATAATCAACTCTTGATGTCATCGCTAGCCTGCGGTATTTAGTGGATTATTATCCGATCTGCTGCTCAACGCTCATTAATGATTTAATCCAAAAATGGATAATCGGGGCTATGTTTTTTATCGTACCGACTTTAGTAATGATGATCGAGGCTAGGCCTAAAATTCAATCGCTAAATTCTCAGTTCATAGTGGATCAATTTGACTGAAATTTTCAGCAAATTCCCTTTACATTATGTAGTTTTTAACTATTATAGTGCGAACTGCCAGCTCTTTATCTAATCTCCCATAATGATTTTTTTAAGTTCGCACTACTTTGTGTCATAGATATCTGCTTTATTTTAAATTGAATTACATGCATCAAAACGACTAGATCTAACTAAAAATAAAAAGATTTTTTAATAAGTCTTCTTTTAGACTATATTTTGATAGATATGGGTGAATTCTTGACTGAAGCTGAATTTTAGGACTGACTGGTAACTATGAGACTATAGCCGATGACGGTGTTGACAAATTTGGCACCAATCTCTAGTTTGAAGCTCTCCAGAAAGAAATCTGGGGAGAAAATTAGATATTTGCCTGGCTACAATTTACTATTATTTCCATTTCCAACTATCAAGAGTTCTTTTACACGAACGCCAACGTGTACACTTGACACAACGCCAGATATTTCCGAGGAACTCTCCGCCAACACCGTGATCTCGAAGAAGAATAGGCCTGTCAAACCTCCCGTCACACACTGCTTGGCGTATGGTAATCTTCATTAGTCAATTTGGTGCAGAGATGTTACATCCAATTTTAATTTGTTTTTCCTCACACTTGGGCAACGAAAGCATCGTTTCCAGTTGGTATCTAAACCAACAGAAAAGGGGTCTAAATCGCATTTATGGTTAGGGCCCTTTGGCAGCCAATCTCTTCATCAACCAGTGATAAAACAAGCCCTTCCACAAACGTACGCTAGAAATTTGTGGTATCTATTTTAGAGAGAGAGAGAGAGAAATGGGGTTTAACGTCCACTCGACACAAACTAGGTCATTTCGGGACTAATGTATGGTTTAATTTTATTTCAATAATTCGCTAGGACCCGGAGAAAATCCATGAGGTTGGACTGGCGACCCTACTCCTTGTCACGTACAGCCGGGGAATCGAAACCACGCCAGTTGACTCAATGACAGACCTTATGATACAGCGCGCATGTGCTAAGCATTCGGCCATCCAACCCATCGGCTAATATAGAACAAACCAGAGAGCTACTTTCTGAAATACATGCATTTGAAGAGCCCGGGGAAGAACGATCTCATTCACTTTTTCAACGAACCCCAGTTTATGGCGCCATCTGGTAGCAAATTGTATGAGCTTTCCGTGGAACAATCAATTTCAGGTAAAAACGATCGAAGTCACCTCGAACCATGGCGCTTCTGAAATGGCCCCCCGGACAAATATGTCCATCGTACTCTTTATTTGACCTTAATTTGGCTGAAAAGTGGAAGTCAGTTGTTGTACTGGTAATCATCATTCGTATTAAACATCATTTTGAAGTTGTAATTAAACCCACTCGTTGTTCTGTTCACGTCAAGCAAGTCTGTTTTGCCTTTTATGCGAAAAAACAAAAATGTGACTTAGATCGTTCTTCCTCTGGACTTTTCATTTGTAATCAATATTAGTAAATACCAATATTGTTTCAAAATATGAGAAAAACATAGCTGGTTATATCTTTTTTTTACCCCCTCCCCCTCCCCTCGCAAAAAACCCCAACAAATCCTAAGACACCTAATAATGGTATAATACAAATGATTAAATTTTTCCTTACTGTTAATGGGGTCATTTGGTCTGTACGAAGAAGAATTCGTGTATATTCGATATGGCGGTGGCGACGTTTGTGGAAAAAATCGTCCATGATATGGTCTCTGTTTCTGTACACTACAAATTCCAGTTGGAGCACCATTCGGATAGGATTCACATCCAGCCAAAAACACCACAAGTACAAATAGAATCATTTTGAAGATTTTTGGATGTTGGATATTTGAAACTGTTGCAACGGTCCGGGTTTTAGGTGTCTTGATATTCATATGGGCGGATTAATTGTAATTTCGTATTTTAAGTTGCTCGATGTCACGTGACACGCGTATTCTTGAAGTTCATCCATCAAGAAGATAATTATGTCATTTCACGAAATTGTACCGCATACTCGTCACATTTGTGATAGATGTGGGGTCTTGTTAATTAGCATTCATCATGTGGGTTTTGCCGTGTGACGTTTAATGCATGTTTTGGTGACTTCAACGATAAATGTAGTCAGCTAGTTGTGACGACGTTAAATCATTCACTCTCGTTATGGGCGACCTCATAAAGGAGTGATGTATAACGATGACAGGAAATTAACACATGTCTATACATCATTATTCAGTAGTGGAAAAGAACTCATTCAACTGAACCGTTTGGTGCGCTTTTACCCCTACTACGTCAGTGACGTGCAGAGTTTGCTTCTATGCACCTTAAGACCCAATACGTACGAGTCAATGGTTGTACTTGACAAGGAGTAGGGTCGCCTGTCCAACCTCATGGCTTTCTCCGGGTCCTCCGCTTTCTTCCCACTGTTAAAGACCCCTACGCTCAAGCGAATTATTGAAATTAAATTGAACCATATGTTAGTCCCGAAATGGCCTAGTTTGTGTGTCTCTCTCTTAAGACCCAAGTAGCCCAAGCGGCCTAATACTGAGAACTGAGGAGTGTGACACAGTAAGACGTTTTAAATATATAAACAAAAAACAGACGAAAAACACATTTTATTCATTTTAAAGCCATATTAACTAAGTTTGGTGCCCCCCCCCCTCTCCGCCTGTATGCCACTATAAATGCGGTGGTTCACAATGCGTCACTTCCGCTTTCATTAGACGCCCGGTATCCTTCAAATGACCGATAGTTAAATACATTTTATATTTTCCTTATTTATCAAACGGGGTTAGGTGGCCGAATGGTTAGCACGCGCGCACTGTATCATAAGGTCTGTCATTGAGTCAACTGGGGTGGTTTCGATTGCCCGGTTATACGTGACAGGGAGTAGGGTCACCTGTCCAACCTCGTGGGTTTTCTCCGCGTCCCCCGGTTTCCTCCCACTGCTAAAGACCCCTACGCGCAAGCGAATTATTGAAATAAAATTGAACCATGTTTTAGTCCCAAAATGACCTAGTTTATGTCTAGTGGACGTTAAACCCATTTCTCTCTATCTTATTGGTTAAAAATGGCCAGAACGTCATAATCTTTGACTCATTGTTAACATTATATGGGGTGGGGGTCACGGTGGCTAAGTCGGTAAAACGCTGGCTCGCTGGATGAGAAAGGTCATCCAGATTTTCCGGCGTGGTTCTCCATTGTCAGTGATGCAGGACGAAGGGTCTGGCAAGGACAGCTGTCTAGTCTTTCAGACAGGACGAGAAATTTCCCTCATAGCACGCTGTATGGCGTATGCCCGTCTTCATTAGCCCTGTTCGGAGCAGAACAGTAGGACGTTAAACCCCATTTCATTTCATTTAGTTAACACTATGTATATTAAAGACTATTTTTTTTACAAAATAGACACCTTCTTGTTTACTCGCCATATTTCACAATGCTTTCCTTCTAGTGTGTATAATAAACAATGGGGGAGTTCATATTTTAGCATCGGCTTGTTTTAAAAGGAGACGATTCTATGTAATTCTCTGTTAGACATCTTCAAAACATGCTACGAAATTCCATAAACATGTTTAAAGTGACTATGATATATATTTCTATAGAAAAAGCTGTATGTATAAAGGTTTATAACTAGCTTACCTCGGACCAGTCAAATGATCTGAATTGGATGGGGCAGTTGTTTTGAGTGGCGGCAAGGTCGGTCAACTGCATTGAAATAAGAGTTGTTTTGTTGTGGGGACAGTAGGGGTATACACGCTGCCAGGCATAATTTTATTTTGCAACGAATACTGTTTATTATGGTATACAAGTTTGATGTGTATTTTGGCGATACACCCCCCCCCCTCCCTCTTCCCACCCCGAGTGGTTCAAACTCTAGGCACGCGACTGTCTAAAAGTGACGCTTCTAACTATCTCTATTTAGCCCTATATGGGACAGAGTTTCCCCATGTATGCTTCAACATTTTCAGATGCTTATCTTTACCTTCTGTGGCCCTGTGTTAGCACGTATTGATTGTTCATCGGAATTTTCTAGCGTGATTTCCCCTTCTCGGTAATACAGGAATAGTGGCATGGGAAGAAACAGCGACGTAAAGCCAAGGCCCCTTGCGCTCGTTGGCTCTACCGCTCTACGGGCATCATTTCCTCAAAGGACACCAGATGGCATATGCCTGCCTTCATTATCACGGCAGGTGCAGAATAGTAGGACCTTCATTTCATTTATTTCTTTTTCTTTTGAGCGGTGTTTTTGTAATTTTGAAAAGTGTTCTCGTGACTTTAACGAAGGCGTAGCCTTTCGTCCAAGTACATGTAGTCTCATGAATTGAATTATGAAATCATTCTTCTATATTCATTGGTCCAGGTTGATTGGTCTTTTCTTGTGATATTCCTCTGTCTGAGACTATTCCTTAGTTTTCTACAAAAGACGATGTTCAGGTGTCTTTTTTAGTAATGTTCCGGCTTCTGTAACGATAATTATCCGTGTACTGTGGGTACCATTTGGAAACAAGTCGCCTATAGACACAGCAGTAGCAACAACAACAGCAACAACACTACCACCACAAACAACAACAACAACAGCCATGATGCTTCGCTTTGCATTGATGCTCATATTCTCCGTTGTTTATTGTCATATTCTAGTGATGTCTACCCGAAGCTCCCACATCCTCATGAACCAAAACGACCCAGAAAGCTACAATGAAAGGGCTGATTATTTCTCGGCTAGTGAAACCTGTCGTCAACAAATGGTCAGAAACGTCATCAGATTACCCGGATGTGTTCCAAAAGCGGTGGTGACGTTTGCTTGCGAAGGAACCTGTCATTCGAGAAACGTACCGGAATGGAGGTTCCTGGAACAGGATCTCCACATGATAGAACATTGCACATGCTGTCAGCCAAACATAGTTCGATGTCGAAATGTTACTTTCGAATGTCCTGGAAGGAAATCGCTAACCAAGTGTCTGGCTGCAACGTTTGAGTGCGCATGCCGACCGTGTTCCGATGCGGATCCGTCTGCTGAGAAACCTTATGACTATTAAAAGTCTGTTGACTATGTTTGTTCAGAACAGGCATCTAGGATCCGGGCCATTATCAGAAAGCCAAACAGTATATGTGCAACAACTAAGCGACGTCATCATCACCCGAGAGGACAATATTGAGAAACATTACTTTTTAATGTAAATAAGGTAAATTTATGAATATTAAAATACAAAAGAATCAAACTAACAATGACAAAAAAAAAGAAAGAAAAACTTTCAACAGCTATTTTAGCTTTGGAGTAGAAAATAACCCGAGTAACCTGTTTATTGTTTAAAATACATACGAGAAACTTGAATTAGCCATTTAACACCATTACCGCAAATTGTTTATAAATGTATAAAAATAGGGAGTAAGAGTTGTTTTTGGATATACAAATTTCGAGTTGACGAAACTACCTGTCAGCCCGGAAGAAACACGTTTCGGCAATATAGCTTTCGGCCGCACTTGACAATTGGTTACGATTAGATTGGTTACATCTACCTTGCCACACCTACCACCATGTCAACCTGATTAAAACACAGATCCTATTTCGTTTCGTTTTTTTTTATATTTCAAAGTTTCTTTACTACACTAGGATCTGGAAGAGTTGTTATATTACCGGCGTTTTGGCACGGAACTGTAGCTAAACCACTAGCAACGACTACGCTGATTGATTAATCAATGTCTGGCGTCATAGGGTCAAAGGCCGCTCGTATGACGTCTGACACGACCTTCGAGTACAACTTGTTAGCTATTCATGTAGTGTAGGCCATCGAACGTTAGATTTGAATAATATTTGTTTCTGGTATTCTTCTGATGTTTATAATATAATACATCATAAAATAAACAAAACGAGGAGTACTTGAAATCAAATTTTAATCAAAATGTTCTATACCAAGCATCACCCAGAAAACATAAAAGTAAATACTGCGTACAAAGTTAGTTCAAATATATAAAATACATAAAATAATATACAAATTGTTTGAATAGCCTTTAGTAATTAAACTGGAATATACAGGACTGGTCACAATTCTATGGAATACAGTTACTGCTGATGTTAATGACTAGAAAGAGAGAGAAATGGGGTTTAACGTCCACTCGACACTAACTAGGTCATTTCGGGACCAACACATGGTTCAATTTTATTTTAATAATTCGCTTGCGTGTAGGGGTCTTTAGCAGTGGGAGGAAACCGGAGGACCCGGAGGAAACCCACGAGGTTGGACAGGCGACTTTACTCCTTGTCACGTACAACCGGGGAATCGAAACCGCGCCAGGCTGTTGACTCAATGACAGACCGTATGATACAGCGCACCGCGCACGTGCTAACCATTCGGCCATCCAACCCCCCAATGACTAGAGAAGCCTAGACGAAATGTCGCTCAGTAATCCTCAGTAAAGACAGTAGAATTTTTACCTGTATATATTAATACCACTGTAGGTAAACACATGATAAATTAATAAGTAAAAACTTACTTAGATGTTTATTTCTGGCGACGTTTCGGCGAGTATTCTGTAAGACAACATGGAAAATAAATAGTTTACATGCTTCATCATGTGCTAGCTTATTTAGGAACAAACATATTATGATATATGGTTATTTCAACAATTCCATTGCTCAAAGAGATTTTTTAGCACATGCGGTTGCACAATACGAAAAGGTAAGATAAACGTTTGTATGTCTTCCAAAATCAACTCATCATCACTTGAAGCAAACGTCAAATCTATATTGCTCTTTCTGTCTTAACGGCTTTGAATGCCACAGATCTGGGGCCTGTTTCACGAAATTTTAACTAAGATAAAATCCAAATTTTAGTAATTTGATTGAATAATATTAGATTGATTTTAGTGATTAGCCAATCA